AGGAGACGGAAATCCGTGAGTTAGGGGGAGTGTGACATTTTTAGGGCCGACCTTTTCTAACCCTTCCTTCCTTGTGAGAAGGCAGCATCGCTGCAGATGCTGGTTGTCCGAGGGAAACACCTTACTGCTGTCACACCCCTCTGCAGTCAGCAGTACGACTTCGCCCTCAGACCTTGGGTAGCTGCTTTTAGTCTCATCGTTCTCCAATCGACCTGCCTGGCATGGTAGGACCTGCAGGAACATATGTTCCAGCCAGTATAGCTCGGTTGGGTCATGACGATAGGCAAGCCCGACCACCACGTCAAGGTAGCAGCTTCGGTCGGGCTAAATGGAAGTTAGATTAGCGTTGATCTTAGGGACTTTGGAGCACGACCGCAGAGCCCAAAGGACAACTGCTTGAGACCGGTCGCTCACAGTATTTTTATTGGACTTTTTAACGTGTTTGCTGCGGTCTTCAAAAGGCTTTACCGTCGGAGACGGAAACCCGTGGAGTGAGATGAGGTGTGACATTTTAGGTTCAACCTCCATTCTTTTGTAAGAAGGCGGCATCTCTGCAGGTGTTGGTAGTCCGAGGGAAACACCTTGCTGCTGTCACACCCTTCTACAGTCAGCAGTACGACTTCCTCCTCAGACCTTAAGTTGCTGCTTTTAGTGTTATTGTTCCTTAATCGACCTGCCTGGCATGGTAGGACCCAAAGGAACATATATTTCGGCCAATAGAGCTCAGTTGGGTTATCGTGATAGGCAAATCCGACCACTACCTCAAGGTAGCAGCTACGGTCGGTTCGTGTCGTATCAGAATTCATCTAATGTAAATTATTCTTAAACAGTACTCTTGAATGATAAAATTGTTTTAAATCGCCAAGAGTATTGTGACTGCAAACAATTTACTATTTGAATGGAAAAAGCCAATCCTACTGTGTCTTTTTTTAATTTAATTTTTTTTTCATCTGAATTAATTAACAACATGAGAAAACAATTCATGTACTTACTGATCTATACAAACATGACGAAACAATCTTTGTTACATTGGACAAATATTTTTTTCATCGTTTTGTCTTGACCAATTAAATTTAAGGAACAAATAATAAAAATTTGTGCTGCTAGCATTCATGCTTTCAATGTTTTCGTTATAGTTCTGAGTTATTCAAATTATTTATAATTGGTTCACATTTAATATCGATAGGTTGACCACACTATTGTAATGTATTTACTGGACCCGAAAGGACGATTTACTGAATATTATGGCCAAGTCAAACCAGTTCAGGATATAGTACGAAATATTGTAGACAAAATGAACGCATACAAGGATTAACGCCTCGTATGTATACATATTCACATATGTACAGTCGATTTATATTCTTTTATTGTGTAAACTGTTCATTTCAAGTCAGATATTGTGTACCCATTTTGTACAATATTATTTCTCTGTAGTCAGTATATATTTACGGATAGATTTCTCTTGTTATTATGATTATTTACTACTTGAGAAAGTTGTGTAATTAGTCTGATCCATCTCTGTACACTAAATCAAACTCCTGCTGTTTTTAATAGTAGGGTTGGCAATATTGTTTATATTATTTGCTCCAGATTTTATCAAAATTTTGTACAGCTAACGGTAGTGAAAGTGATCGTTCCATGTTCATGTAAACTGCAATTATTCAAATCCTGATACTGATAAATATAGGTCAGAATCAACACATAACGTCTGTAGTTTCAACGTTTTGTTGTGCTGATTTCATCATTGATAATATAGGTCCAAGTGGGAAATTCGATTTCTGTATCTTTGGTAGGTCATACAAATAAAACACTTAACGCCCTGAATATTCATATATAGAATTATTAATGATTCGTTTGTCCATTGAATAATTCAAATCTTTGTTATATCTGTCAATGTTGGTAATTTATCTACCTACAATACTATTATCTTGCCATTGTTTTGTTAGCGTGGAAATGACATTTCATGATCATTAGACATAATTCACCAGTCCAGAGTGGCCGAGGTTAGACGTCAAAAAATTTTCATATTCAGCCTCCGCATCAATTTTGTCAGTACTTTACAAGATACGAAATTCGGATTCAAATACAACCTCGTTTTCTATTTAATTTGGTTGTAAATTCGATAGGTTATAAATAAGATTTTGAATTTTTACTTAAAAACCTTCATATAGTCGTTCTTTCAAAAATGTCGTCGACAGTTTTCTGGAATTTCTCTGTATCTTAAAAACCCTGGATATAAAGGCTTGTTGATAGTATGAAAAAATCAAAGACGACTTGAAGTAATCTACGGTCAATGAAAAGCCAACCGTCACTCGTCTGAATTTTAAATGGTGATAATATTGAGGAGACAATTAGCAAAAGACCTGTCATTGCATTAAATAAAAGCCAATCTGAGAACAAACTAATATTCTTGTGTTAAACATGTTCGAGTTAGTGGACAGAACTACGTGTATAAAATACACATTATCAGGAGTTATGCAATAAATAAACAATTGTGACTAGATAATCTTCATAGTTGAGTGAGTATTCAGCTACCTGTTTAACCTAATCAATTAAGTGTCTAGCAAATTAACAAAGAGTAAGTCAATCGATTAATCAATAGCAACGTAGAACTTCGTACGTACGTACATCACTTCATGTTGTCATACCACATTAACACAGAGACGCAACTGTCAGTTCAAATCCAAGAGTGATAGCGACAGTAGAATTGTTAGCAGTAATGTAGAATATTAGGGAGCGAAGATTTGATTCGAAAAGTATAATTCAGTGAGATGAATTTAGAAGGAGAAAGATAGATATTATGAGGAATTCAGGTCAGAATTAGAGAGAACACAAAGAGTGGATGCACCCACGCCATTGCAAACGATTCTGAGCCATGTCATTCAAGGTCACTAACCATCGGTGACTATCGTCTCGCGGACCCCAACCAGGTAGCCTACATCTACCAACATGACTCAGTCTACTTGTCAGTGACTTCATGGATTTCTTCCATGTTTTGGTCTGGCCGCCCCTAGCTATCTTCCAACCTACTCCTACACTGCAAAACATAGCTCGTCGAGGCAGTCGGTGGTTAGGCATTCGTAACACATGTCCCAACCAGCTCAACTGATGAAGTTTCACTATTTCATCTATTGATTTGCCATCCTTACCTAGAACTCGTTTCCTAACGACAGCATTGCTTACTCGGTTTTCCCAGGATACACGAGCAATGCTTCGAAGACACCTATGATCGAAAACCAGTAACCTACGAATATCTACTCTCACTGGCCATGTTTCACAGCGATAAAATAGGACGGAGTGAACTACTGCGCAGTACACTCGTCCTTTAATCAACAAACGGATATGTCACCTGCGCCATAGGCGACGCAGTTTGGTAAAAGTCGATCGAGCCTTCTGTACCCGTGCTGAGATTTCGTCAGTCACCAGACCATCAGCACTGATGAGACTCTCCAGATAAGTGAGGCGGTCTACACGTTCGACTACTTCACTTCCTATCACTAGTTCAGGTACCGATGTAACCCAATCTTGAGGTAACATTTTGCATTTCGAGGGGGAAAACCGCATCCCGAACATGCTTGCATTGTTGCTTAGGGTAGTCAGAAGACTGCATTTTGTCAGCGTCTTCACCAAGTAGGACTATGTCATCGGCATATGCTTAGTCAATAAGCGATCCTCCTGGTATAACGTCTACTCCTAAAAAGTCGGACGAGGATAAGGTTATTTCTAGGAGCATGTCTATGACAAAATCAAACAAGAATGGAGAAAGTGGACTTCCCTGACGGACACCACTTGAAGTGAAGAATTCCGATTACAGTTTGCCATAAGCTCTCACTCGACCAGTGGTGTTCGAGTAGAGAGCTTGTATAAGGTTAAAGTACTTGTTTGGTACACCTTTCAATGACAGACTGCCACAGAACCTCGCGATCCACTGAGTCGGATGCCGCTTTTAGGTCCAGGAAGACAACTATTCTAGGATGCCTGAACGTATGTCTATGTTCCAGGACCTGTCGTAGTGTGAAGATGTGGTCTATACGTCCACGTCCAGGTCTGAGACCAGCCTGGTTTTCTCTAGTCTGCTCTTCACGAGCACTAGTAAGGCGTCTAAATATAATCGAGGCTAACAATTTAGAAACTATATTAGTCAGACTTATTCCCATATGGTTGTCACAAAAGGACTTTTATCCTTTCTTATATACTGGAATAATGAGTGAATGAGTTCAATCAGATGGGATTACGCCCAGTTCCCAGATTCTACTTAAGAAATTAGTCAATTTTACTGCTAAAATTGGACTACCATCCTTAAAAATCTCGAAGGTCAATCTATCAGGACCCGCTGCTCTCCCTCGCTTGAGATTTCTTATCGCTTTCTCAACTTCACAAAGATTCATAGGACTTACATCGATTTGCCATTCAGTATGACTGGAGATCGTGGGTAACTGATGTGTGTCTGAAGGCCAATTGAACTGACCCCTGAAATGTTCTGTCCATCGATTCAATCTCCTGGATTGAGAACGAATAATAAGACCATTTTTTTTCTGAGATAGTCTCACAGTCGGATTCCTTAAACCGGTCCTTGATGAGTCTGAATAGTAGTCTACTGTTGCCTATCGCCGTTGACTTTTCCATCTCTCTCGCTTTCTCCACCCACCACTGTTCTCGATCATTGAGAAGGCTTTTTATGAGCCTGCGCTCAAGCTGACTCCGCTCCTCATCGCACTCAGAGCCAGGTGGGAATAGTTTTCGAGCATCCATTAGGTTGGTAGATGCTACTGAGATCCACTGATTCTTCCTAGACTTATTGTTTACCTTACTAGCAGATATCACTGCTGTTTCCACAGCCTTTCATTCCAAGCTGCCTCAGGGTGGGCATCACTTATTACGTGGCTGCCTAACTGTTTTTCCAGTTCCTGAAATATATTCTTAGCTCTGTTATTATTAGGTAGAATCCTAAGAGGTTTGATTGAGATATTTTTCTTACGTCCAGAGAGATGCGGACAAATACACGCTCTCACTAGATGGTGGTCTGAGTCTAAATAAGTGTCCAGAACGAGCGGCAGTTTTCAATAGAGCCTCTCCACCGATGGCTCATAGCGATGTAATCTAGTGGGGTCCAACGTTGTGACGACTTTGGGGGTCTCCAGGTCAAAAGATGTTTTTCCTTATGCCTAAAGTTAGTGTTTGCTAGGAATAGGCGGTTAACTGAGTACAGTTGCAATAGACGGTCGCCATTGTTTGTTCTTTGAGGCGCGACACAATAAGATCCACCCAGGTGTCTTTCCTGCTCACTTAGTCTACCTATTTGAGCATTAAAGTCACCAGCCATTATAACTATATCAGAGCGCTTAAAATTTTGGAGAAGTTTAGAAAGGTTTCTATAAAACTTATCTTCAATGTGGTCTGAACTGCAGTCAGTGGCAGTGTAGGCAGATACGACGAAGAGGCAACGGCGAGTTTCCCTATTCTCCCGAGTCCGTACCCTCGGACAGGGCAGAACTGACTGTCTATCGGGATTCAATCTAAGAGAGTTAGTCCTGCCCTAGGACCTAATAACTATACCTACGCCGGCGAGATTCCGGGAAGCAGCATCAGGGCTACCGCATACACGAAGAGTAAATCGGGCTGCTTCTTTATTTTGACAAGGTGAAATCAGATTAATAATTTTACTAGGATCCTGTATGCGCGTTTCCGAGACGCAGCACACATCGATGGAACGAGATTCTAAAGTCCTAGCTAATGATACCTGTTGCCCTATTTGACACAATGTCCGTACATTGAATGCTCCAACATGTAGTTTGGAACGGGGTTTAAGGAGACCAGGAACGACGTTTCGCGAACTCATATCGTCTGCATTAGCTGCGCACTGTGATGAATGAATGTGAGAAGAGTTAGTCGTGGAGATAAGAGAGGCATTAGGGGGTGTAGGAAGGATTTGGTTTTGACCAATTCGGTCTCGTGTGCTGTTACGGGTATGAGGGCGGTTTTCACTTCCCGGCTGCCCACACCGTGGAAGAGTGTTTCTTGAGGAACCTGAAAAGGAAGGTAGATTAGCGTTGGTCTTAGAGACCGTAGATTCCAAGGGACAACTGCTTGAGGCCGGTCACGCACGGCCTTATTATGAAAGGTTCTTAGAGTATCGGCTTCGCTCTTGAAAGCCCTTAGTGGGCACCCTTACTGCCTGAGACGGAAATCCGTTAGTTAGGATGAGGTGTGACATTTTTAGGATCGATCTTTTCGAACCCTTCCTTCCTTGTGAGGAGGCAGCATCGCTACAGATGCTGGTTGTCCGAGGGAAACACCTTACTGCTGTCACAACCCTCTGCAGTCAGCAGTAAGACTTCACCCTCAGGCCTTGAGTAGTTGCTTTTAGTCTTATTGTTCCTTAATCGACCTGCCTGGCATGGTAGAACCTTCAGGAACATAAGTTCCAGCCATTATAGCTTGGTTGGGTCATGACGATAGGCAAGCCCGACCACCACGTCAAGGTAGCAGCTACGGTCTGGAGCAAACAGTAAGTAAATTACCCGTATGCATTAAGCGTCAGTTAGTTCAACTTCTTATAGCAAGTATTTCAGATATCACCAAAAGGATTGCAGAACCTTTCGGAAACAGTTGTTCGTAGGCTGATAGCTGCTATGTTATCTGAAAAATAAACTGCTTCAACTACGGGTAACATTATAATGGATACTCGGGACTTATTTACCCACGGACGCAAACTAACGCTGTAAAGTATGACATTTTGCATTCTAGTCAATCTACAACCAGTAGAGGTCCACTGAACAAAACAGCCAGCGAGAATAAGGGGACGTAAGAAGAAAACTATTTGGAAACACGATATTCCGAACTGGCTGACTTGTTACCTGTTCAATAACCAGAATATCCACTTCTGCTCGAAGTAAGCACTGATGCTATCGAGGACCGTAAAGAAGGTTTCACGATTCAATCACAGTTCAAGGAACTCATCACCACTGAAAAAAGAATATGTTTGTTTGAATAAATTATTTGATTTCCAGCTATTCGTTCTCTGTCTAATGTATTCTTGTTAGGAATCATATAACTAAGTTGAATTATTGTATAATCAAATCAACAATTTCATGGGTCTATAGTTCAAATTATGTTTCCTTGATTTGAACTAAACGACAGAATGAATTCGTATTATTCTTCCTCGCTTATTGTTCTATTACTTCGTTTAAGCTTATATTGCGTAATTATCCTTGTATTCAGCCAAGTATTGTTATCCTGATCATCTCTGAATAAATCTAAAATCTACTTACAAAGGATATTTTATGTCACTGTTGGCATTGCTTTAAGTCATTCCGTTGTTGATGTTTACGACTGCTACATTCAGTCGATAAGTCCCAACTAGAATGAAACACATGTTTTGAATTTCACAGATACCCAAAATATTTCATTAATTTTGTGGTTCCATAGGTGTTTCGGTGACTTCAATATCCCGTCTAGAATAAATGAGAGAATTTCAGAGTAGCAATTATACAATAACTGACAAACGAAGTCTTTATTTTCATTATTACTCTTATAAATCTGTTTATTTAGCCTTCACTTTAAAACTTTATATAGATTAAAAGTAAAAATGTGCTCATGTATGAAGATATCAAAGTTGTCTGTTAAAATGTACAATAGATTCAATACAAAAAATGAAGAAATGGAATCGACCATGTGAAGATAATATCCAAAACTTGATGTTTGAAAATGGTACCATAAAGATTAGAGAACAAATGAATAATTTTCAACAATCAGTCAATGTATAACAGAGTCATATGTATTAAGAAAATGAACTGGAGAAATAAGTTGACGTTTTAAATCTAACCTCATGTATCAACACATCTATCTAACTAATATTACACTTTCAGGTAACATTAAATTCATAGCCTTAAAGCAATAAATAAACTTAATTTCATTTATAGAATCTATACAAGTTTTGTGATTGGGCAAAAATACATAATGTATGAGAAGAACACACTGGTTAACTATTGTATAAAATTTCTAATTATGATTCCCCAAGGTCATTCTTAATGTTCCATGTTCAATTCTTCTTTCATTGTTTGTGTTTCCTTTGGTCATTTATGTACTTGTTTAAATCCTTTTATGAAAAAAACCTTTACATAACTCAATTACAATGATGTTACTTTATGAAATGTTGTAGATGTATTATTCAATTGGTCATTACTATTTACCTGGTGAGTTGTTATTCCAATAGTGTTTATATGATTCATTTTAAATGTTTCCTTATACTGTGTTAATGAAGACTCATCTATTGAATCACGGTGTGGTATTGTTATGACTTCTTCACTTTTTGTTCGATGATGGCATAATGTTTTTTGAAAATGTTCACCGATTTCATTGATAGTAGATTGCTACAAAATATAAAAAAAACAAACAAATGATTGGATATTAATAGGTGTACATAGAAAGTTATCGCAAGTAAAATGTATGATAAACCAGTGTGTCTGATCAATTAATCATATAATATGGAAATAGATTGTTTGATGGTGTTAGGATTTTAGATTACTTATAAAATATGAATACTATGAACTAATATTTTCCAGGTTATCTACATGACGTATGTTAGATCAAATTAAGATGATTTACCTTGAAATCATGAATAAATCATTGTTAGACCACTATTAGAAACGTGGAAGCACTGGACGGCCGTTTTGTCCTGATATAGGACTCATCAACAGTGCGTATCCACGAGTATTGCTACTCTCAGGATCCACACCCGTGGGCTTCTGTCTCGCGCGCGAACGCCTAAACTCTGGACCACTAAGCCGGCACCCGATGGTGCTAATGTCTAACTCTGATCAACCTAAAATTATTTAAAAGTGATCATTTATACTTCATTATAGCATAACAGCCTGGTTATGTATATATTAAATGTTTCGTTGAATTCTAAAGGGTTATAAAGCCATTCTATAAATTGAGTATATACACTTTTTCTGGTCGTTTACAACTCTATCCGCTGCTTGGTTATACCTGAAATAAAACCCTATAAACTTCGTGACCGATTTGCTTATATCTAGCTGTTAATGATAGTTGTTTGAGATATGTGTTTAGTCTAAGTAAATATACGAAGTTAATCAGAATAATCCATACTTTTTCTTCAGGTAAAGTCATCGTTACAAAAACAATAATAATGGATGATTTAATAAGAGATAATCTAATGAAAATTAGTACTTTCTATTATACAATAAAATAGCATCGATTAATGAACTGTTGCAATTATTATCTTGAAAAATGTTCTACAGTTACATCAATTACAATAAATAAAGTTATAATCCAGTAGATTACATATAACAATTTCACTAATTGTTTATGTTATGATGATGATTAGAAATCAATTTATTCTAAATTCCCCACTAATTAATTGTTGTATAAAGTAATAATTAAATATTAAGCAGAGACCGGTGTCAGACTGGGTTGCTTCCTTTCAATGTTTTTCTTTCTTGTGATGGCTGACTGGATTACATGAACCTCAACATATCAGGGAAAGCAAACGATACATACAATGGACAGCTAGGATGCAGCTAGACGATTCGGACTTTTCAGATTACCTAAACCTTCTATCCTATACACAGCAACAAATACAGGTGGAGACGGTCAGTGTTGTAATAGCCTCTGCAGTAGTAGCAGTCAATATACACAATGGAAAAGGCAAGATCCTCTGATACACTACATGCACTAAACAAATCACACTTGACAACGAAGCTCTGAAGGATGTGGTAACCTTTACATATCTGGGGGCTAGTATGATTGATAAACAGGATGGATCCGATGCAGTTGTGAAGGCACGGATTAGTAAAGCAAGGTCAGGAACTCAAAACAGATCTCAACCAATACCAAAGTGACAATTTTCAATACAAATGTCAAAACAGTTATGACTGTATGAAGTGGAAAGTCGGAGAACCATAAAGGTCATCATCCATAAGATACAAGTGTCTATTGACAGTGGTCTACGCAATATACCAAGATACCATGAGCAGCAACATATTATGAGAGAGAGAGCGAAGCGGATTGAAACTGAGAAGTAAATTACGAAAACGAGCTGGAGGCGGATATGACACATTTAGTGGAAATTACTCCACTGTTTTACGAGGTAATCCCTAATTTGGAATCTTCGGGGCAAAGGAGATGTAGGCCGATGAAATTGCACTTAAAATTGAAGGCATATATGAAAAGAATGAGCAGTCATTGGTAGCATGTAAGAAGAGCCCATGACAGCTCGTTGGGGAATCATTATCGGCTGTCTATGCTTTTGAAAATTGACAATCGGTATTCAATTCTATGCCTACTTTTCCATCAGGTGTTTTCATCGTCCATAGTTCCTTAGGCTTCTTTAAACGTAGGGGCTTCGCACACCGTAGCAGAGATTGTGATATCACAATAACACTATTCCATATAGATGTAGGAACTTACTTACTTACGCCTGTTACCTCTAATGGAGCATAGGTCGTCGACCAGCGAACTATTTTTTCGGTTAGTTGGATCTATACGGGATGGGGTAGCTAACCCCACCCACAACACTCTTTTATGCGGGTTTGGATCAGGACTAACCCTAGAAGGGCTGCAAGCGTAGTTATAGTGGTAGGAACTGTTTGCTGATATTCTTATTTTAAAGGATTTTTAGTGTAATTTGGCTTTACTCACATACGAAAATGACGAGCTGATTGAGTGTCTGGGCTAATCAGTCACATAAATTGAGGAATAATGCTCAGAGAAAACTGAAGTGAACCTTAATATGAAGTACCTAATTAGAATTATTTTGTTTATCATACTGCGGTTATCTAAGGGGTCTTTCCAAGAAAACTGAAGAAGTGTTAAAACTTAAGTAATATGCCTAACTGGGTCTCATACTGGAACCTAGTGCTAACCTACGAATATTTTTGCTATATTGGTTTCGATACATCTTTATCTTCATCATTCTGTGGATTATTTTTAGAAATACAAACAACTAATATATAAGGGTTCTTGTCGTTCCGTTGTTAATATGAAGGACTACAATTAATCAGCTTCTATTGGCATATGTGCCTCATCGGTAGATGCCACAATATTGGATTTTTCATTACTTAGGGAATCACCAGAGGGAATCATCTGCAACTATTTAGTGTTAATGAAAAAATGCACATCCTAAATTCCACCGCTAATCCCAATACAAGTAATTTAATCTAAAAATAAATAATTCTCAAACTGTATTTTCTTTCTGGGGGAATAAAATGACTTACATTTGTGTTTGTTCGAACCTTTAATACCCAAACTACAATTTCTGTAATCCAAACAAGTATTCCAAAAAATAAGCCAGCACCTAAGCCAATAAAAGCACTGGACATTTTTGCAAGTGTCAATTTACTTCTTGATGGTAAATTTGTGTGAGAACTTTGTAAATAACATGGAACTGATGCATTATAACGTTGTAACCAGTATTGTCTCATTTTCTCTAATGTTTGGTCCTTCTGTAATTTTAATATACTTTCAGATAATAAATCTCTTAGTCCATTGTCTAAAAAAATAAGCAAGAAAAGAGTAAACTATTGAGTAAACTACTATTATACAAATATTCATGCAGGGACACACACTTGAAATGGTCATTTTGATTAATTTGGTTTTAGATAGATTAAAAATATCAGCAATTGTAATTTGGTGTAGTTTAATTAGAGTTGGTTTAACTGTCGTTGGGACTTCAAGTCTATGTTTATGAGCAGTCCTTAGTACACACTAATATTCAGTAATTACTTGATTAAGATAGAAATTTTGTGGAAATCCTTTCACATTTAACAGAGTTCGTTATAACTTTAATCTATAGAATTAAATTTTGTACTTCAACATCATCATTAAGTGTATGTATTCACTATTAAAAATCAGCTAGCTAATAGTTTAGTTTTAGTTAAGTTGTAGAAAGCAATAGTCAATCAACTTAAATTATCGAATTATACTTCGTTATTAATGATGTAAATGCTTTTATTCATGAGATAATTTCCCAATGCACTGAAACCAAACAAGAAACAGTAAATAGTTATTTCAGTCAAAATTAGAACTACATAGCACATACCAACAGTTTCACAAGGTATGAGTTCTAGGACTTTCAAATCATATCAATCGTCAAGGCCTAATCCAACAGTTTGCATTTGTTCATTCTGATCAGTCTTCAACATTGTACGACCATCAACTACGGTCAATTATCCTTAGATTGACTTAGTATGTTTTAAAATTGTGAGTAGCAATTTATTTTAAAATAACTTTTTAATTCTAGTACATAGTATTCACTTACTGCCTATTGGTAATCCAATTCCATATCCTCTTGGATCTAATAATCCACCAAGCGGAGTAAGTTTGCAATTACGCTGGGCATAATATTCATTAAGTGTTGATTCCAATATCAATGCATAACCTCCTTCGAGAACACGTGCAATGCCCTCTTCTGTTTTATTTACAAACAATGATTTATTCTGGTTCATGAAATTCCACATTCTTTGATAAGTAGGAATATCTGAATTCTTTAAATTTTAAATAGGTAAAAATTAGGAGCAAAATTTTGCAAAACGTTTAGGATACATAAAACATATTACCAGTAATGACAATTAAATACAGTTTGTAAACAACAAGGGGAGTATTGTCATTAAAAATGTACTTTACTGTTTTTGAAAATAACCTGTACGGAGTATGTCAAATAATTTAAATTAATTTCCATTACTGAAAATACAAGATCAAGTGTAATCAGTTACAGTTCCTATGGGATAATCCAAAGACTTACAATTGAAACAAGGATCACTCGACTGAATATGTTTACATTGGGACGAAATAGTCTTACAATTTACTGAGATTTACCTATAAATATTTATTTCTTATAAAGTGTACTCTTATTTTATTACTGTTGTTTATCGATGTGTATGAATCTGATAATTTATTCAAGCGAAATTTTTTAAGAAGTTTTAAAATATACTATATTACTATATCATTTTCGTTATCTCAGTGGTTTATATGTTGATTCCTTTGAGTTGTTTATTTGAATTTTCCGATTGACAGTTAGAACAGTAATCAAACAGTCACTTCGGTATATGTGCATCCTATGAGGATTGCTTTGATATTACCATTGAATCACAAGTATTATTAGTGAAGATGGATGGTGGCTAGCCGCGAAATCCAGGAAGTGCGTTTCGCTCTAGTTGGAAATCATCCGTAGCTGGAAGTACCTGCATCTGAGAATTGGTTTCCACTCGGTGACTAGAACGCAATGCCGATTGCTCCAAACGTCTTTGCGCTGTCCACTTAGCTACTGATTCCAGACAGCCACTCGCTTGAGCAACGGGGTGAAGTTTAATTCGTTTTTATTAGTAGTTTGAATCTTCCCATTCATAGTTGGGACTGTAAATGAGGCAGTCTTGGCGTGAAAATGAGAAATTCAAATTTCCAAAAATAAGATGCGAAACTAAGAGAATTACTAAGTGATTTCTGGGGATCTGGTATCCTCTACACATGGTAAATGAATTTATTACCCTTTAAAAGTTATTTCACTAGTTGGATTGGTATTGCACAGTTACAATAATTATGATGGACAATATTAAGAATTTAAGTCTACATATGCTTTCTGATATCGAAAAACACAAACGCTACGTAGTCAGGGCAACAGTATATTCAACTATTCTGTTTAACGATTCTTCATTTAAAGACCGGTGTTGAGAGTGAATTCATAATAATTTGTCAGCACTTCTTAAGAATAATTAGAACCTCTTTTCGTAGTAATCGAACAGTAAAAAACTAAAGTCGCTGAAAACGAGATAATTCAGAATATAAAATGTGTAACTTTTTAGTGAGTATCAGGGAGTTCGTGGTAAAAGTATGAGACTTCCTGATAATCATTATCAAAAGTTAACTACTTAACCGTTATTGAGTAGTATATATATTTTTCAACCGATAAGAGTGAATCGAGTGTGCACTTAATGTATAGAAAGATTTATTAATAAATATATGAAAATCTCTAGAAAGCTCTAATATTGATCAATTCATGTATGAAAAGTAGATATGTGTGTAGATGATCTCGAGAAGATACAATGAGGTTGATTCACCTCATCATACTATGTTCACCATTTTTCATGTTTACACTTACTTTGAAAAATGAATAAGTTGAACCACCATGTATTGTTCCATATTTAATTTTTGTCTGACGTGCTAAATCTTCTACACTTTCAATATCCGCTTGCATTCTATCGATTGTTAAAAAAGCAGCTAAATTTGCTGTGTATGATGAAGTTATCACTAGGATAAAAAACCACCATATACCTCCAATAATTCGTGTAGATGTAGCACGTGGCACAATATCACTACCTTGAATGACAAAAAAAGTAGATAAACAGTAGCCGAATAAATAAATGATTGGCAACAAATACGTTTGCAAGTGAATTACATCAAAATTCATGTTGTTATTGTTGAATTCTCATACAGATGCTGGTTCATTACACATAAAGTAACACCCTAATCTACTAAAGTAGATTTTTTACAAGTTTTTTAGATAAATTAGAGCTTGATATTAATTTAATCTTCTGGCAAGGATAAGGAAAACCTAATTATTGCAGTTTGATTCAAACAATTTATTCTTTCAGCAGTAAATAAATTCTAACTTTAAATTATGAACTCGATCTCAATCCACTTATTCAATTGATAAAATCTTAAGTAGAATTTGAATTGAAATCAGGTATTTTAGCTATAGTCTGTCAATTTTTATAGGATTCAGTTTGGTTTTAATGAAAATGTTTGCCATCTAATTAGACTATAACATAGTCTTTTAACAGTGTTATTGCTTTTAACGATTTAATAAAAATGAGATTTAATCTAAATGAGATTAAGTTTCCAATGTAGAGGTTTATAATGATTGTCAAATTTTTCCGTTTTACATCAGGCAGTGATTTAGACAGCAATTAAAAACTAAGAAGCACTGGACAATTGTTTAGTTTTAGTATGTTAAATGAGATACGAGTTCAAATATTTTCCAACGCTACCACGACATTATGGTAATAAGACTGAACCGGATAGCCGAGTTCAGAATACTGCTTGATTAACCACTCGAACTATCCGTTATAAACAGACTAGTTCACATTATATCAGACATCTGATTCACAACCGATACATAGGAACGCTAGACAATACTGTATTCCACAATTACACGCAGTCACTCTCCGTGAGTCCCTAAATCATTAAAAAGAAATGAAATAAAATATATAATAACCAATAATCTGAGTCCCTAGTTGTCCGCACTCAGTGACGAGTCACGTGTACTCTTGTGGTGGCCCATTTCGATGGCAGGCTCACCATTTTTAGTGTGTCGATTTACTGCATGTTCTTAAGCTCGGTAATTAGCTCGTCCAGGCAATCGTTACAAAGTAGCGTCTGACGGCTTATAAATCAGAAGATGAACTAGAAGTGTTGAATACGTTTATTTTTGACACACCACAAAATGGGATAGCAGATCACAAGCAGACCCGTGCAGGCACACTAGCGAGCGAATGAACAGGCGAAGCGCGTTGGAGAAGGCTAATGAGCCAAATCCGAGAGATAGAGCATGACTAAGAATATATAGTCAGACAAAAATAAGACAGACATGTGACCAACGAGATAGGCATGCACATGAATAAAAGCGACGAATGGTTGACAAGGTCAAAAGACAAGTGGGACAAGTCACGTAAGCTCATACAAATCAGACAATAACAAGAACGAATGGTACATATAAATTGTTGCTCTACAAATGGCTTGGTTAAATAAATTAATCTAAAGGGCTTGACCAAGTTAGATGTAAGCGAACTGGAATATATGTGGAGGCACTACACTTTCATTACCACATACTAATACGTGAATCCTCAACAGTACACAAACACGACCTCATTAGGCAGATAGATATAGTTCAGATCATTCAGGTTTCGCTGCTGTCGTTTATCTTCTAGATCGTAAAACCAACATCAAATGGTCTAAATTTCCAACTTCAGTCGATACACAATATTGCGCTAAAATTCTCCTCCATTGCTATTGTTGGATAAGTGCATTACATAAGAAGTAGTTGAACTCTAATGTTCATGAAATGTTCTTCGAAGTTTGGGAATTCTCAAAAATAATTACTAATAAGAATATAGTTATTTTTGTGCGATTTGTATTTGTCTAAAGTCAATTCATAATTTGAAGTAAAGTAATTAATCTTTTATATCATCTTCTAAAACTTCTACTTAGTTGTGAAAGATTTTGACATTTGATTGAGTATCACCACTTTTGAACCCTAACTAGTTTGTATGTTTCTTAAAAAAATCCCTTTGATATTTACTGATTTTTTAGAAATTATCAAGTAAATAATCCCTTTGGCTCATACTAAGTTAATTTATATCAGGTCACACTTTATACTTAGCTTCAAAGTAGATGTCATCGTATTTATGGTAATATATTTACATCAGAATACATGTAAATATGCACTATATTGATAAATTCAATCATCACAAACTTTCTTCCAATAAAAACAAATGAAAAACGGAATGTATTAGCAAGTTAATATGATAATGAAGCTCATAATAACTGATTAAATTGACGGGCTGAAAATAACTCATCCGAATTAGCACAACATGTGTAATTAAAATTGACATTTAGCTCAAAAGATGGCAGATTATCAAAAATTATTTTAAATAAGTTAAACTTTATATACTCTAATTTTATGAATTATCAATTTTCAATGGATTCTGTTATTGGAAATTAGAAAAAAAAATCATCTATGACAAAAGGAGCAACAAATTAGTGCGTGACTCATACATCATGTTGAAAATCTTTTACTGGTTGTAATTATTTAGAATAAAATAAATTAATTAGCTCTATGTAACTTAAAAGTTGATTTCGTTCAAAAGTCACAAATATATTAGCAGAAAATTTGATAATATACACTACTAATACTATTATTGTAACTATGACTAGGTATAGACATTTATTTATATGTACATTAATTTAACCTAAAGTCAAATCGAACAAAGTAAATCGGTCATCTTAAGGACA